ATCCCATCCTTGCGTTGCGTTAGTCAGATGGTCACAGCAGTGAGAACTAACACAAACTCTCCTCTCATCCCTGCCTCATCAACGAGGTACCATCCCTTTCCCACTCTTCCATGTTCAAGGCTTCTCCTGGTACAAGTTCCTCCTAAACCTTGGGCTGGCTGGCATCTGAACAGCAGTCCCAAGGGCTCGGTATAGATGCACAGCCGCTCTGCTATCCAAGTGCTGTGGCCTCCAGGGTGCTGCTCCTGAATAGGCTTTGCTGAATAATCCAGCAGTGAAGACTTCCCATCTACAATACACAGAGCCAGCTCAGACTGAGCAGTAGCAGTGACCACAAACTACTGGGACTGACCAAGTTCCTGTGCATCTGCTTTAAGTTAAAAACAAAACAAAACAAAATCAGACACACACACACACACACACACACACACACACACACACACACTGGGATTACAGCAGCCACACCCATCCCAGTTCTGATAGATGTTATCTACAGGTATTAAGCAGTAGCTCAACTCTGACAGGGCCATGGGCTGAGCACAAGCAAGGCCATGTCCATTCCCAGCTCAGTCTGAGAACAGAGATTCGCTATGCTGGGGCTTGGTGTTTCTGAGAAACTGTGGGAGCCTCAGTTCTATGGGCTGGGATGTGAGTGTGACACACTTGGTAGGGAACACTATGTTCACAAAATGCTATTCTGAAACATGCCAGGATAAGCAGGCTGCAGCCATCAGGACCCCTCAGACAGACCCCTTCATGGTGTAGCATCGCCCGAGCCCTGGTAGGCAGGAATCCAACCAGAGCCTGCTACCCAGTTCATCTAGACAGTAACAGCATCCTAGCTATAAGCAGTTATGCCACAAAATTACATGTATGTTCAGTTGCCGACTCTTTATAAAACTAGTCACTTATTAGGAGTTACCAGGGACCAGCACAATCATCTCCCATGCTTGTGATCTCCACATTCCTTACACTCTGCCAGTTATCCTGAGTCCTGGGGTGAGGCCTTGTGGTTACCCCCACAGAGAAGAGCACAGGTTACAATGCTACACTCCAGACCCAGCCGTGGGAACCATTGAATTCACATCTCCAAAAGGCTGAGCTCACCAAGCAGAGCCCTCTTTGGGAAAAGTGGCCACTGAGCACCAAGAAACACTGCTCCTGAGCTGTCCTGGCCGAAGCCAGCCAGAAGACAGTGTCAAGATGTATCCCCTCCCTGGGTATTGCCCCTTCTCCACTCAGTCAGGACAGATCCCCTCAGCAACTGCTGCTCCAGACACTGGGATTACACCAGGGCCTCTCCAAGTACCGACCTCCAGAACCAGCTGCCTGTGACCACCTTCTTCTGAAGACCTTGGAAGCAAAGAAAAGAAGAAAGGACAATCGAGATGTGTGACCAGGAGGAGGGAGAGACAACCAAAAGAAAGGCAACACTACAAACAGAACCACGAAGTGGGAAACTTGAATCAGCAGTCTGCGGGTTAGTGGCAATAACGGCATTGTTCTTTTAAAGCACCCACTCCACCTCCATCCTGTGTGCATGCACATACATGTGTGTGAGTGCACAAGCACATGTGTTAGGACGATGCAGGAAAAGTAACTAATGTCGTTAGGAACTAAAACTGCCATTGTCAAATAAAATACAAGAAAATCAAGATTAAGAAACATCAGGATAGAGGCAGAGGAGAACTGGGCAGACTGAGTCAGCCTCTAAGACATGACAATGGCATGCAAGGAATGTGCTCAGCCCTGCAGGCCCACCATTCCTCAGTCACAGACAGAATGGAACATGCCATCGTGTTCCCAGATCTGCAGAGCAATGTGGCTTAGCTTATGGGTGAGGGTTCTTTGGCTCAGTGCAGGTTATCTGCAATGTCTTCTCTGGGGACTGACTGACACACGAGTAGCAGCTGGTACATCGTGTGGAAGTGTCAAAAGGAAGTTGGTGGAAGTTCGAAGTTTGCCACCTCAGCTCAGCATCCACACAGCTGCTCGTGCTCATTCTCACAAGCAAAGCTCAGTCACAGAGCCAAGGTGGCACCTACACCGAAGCTTTTCTCTTAGAAAATAGCTCTACCCAGGCTCCATTCCACAAAAAAAAAAACCCAAAACACTAAAAAAAGCACCAGCACTCAGCATTACCCTCTTCCATGCAGCTTGGCATCTAAACACCATCTCAATAAAAGGGACCCACAGCCCCGAGAAGGCCTGACGCAGGCCTCGGCACCAAAGCTGACACAACTCTAAGCACCTTATTGGGCCAAAAAGCATGAAGCAGTCAACACCAGCGGAGTCATGTTAAAAGGTTTCAGGGCCAATGCTGACACTGCCTGTCAGCCAAAGACAGGACAGCTTCTGCAGCAAAGGGATGTGAACAAAACTTATAGAAACACACACTCATCACAAGGGACTACTTACCAAGAACAAACAGAACACACACACAAACCATCATTGCTGTCACATAATCACTGTCATATACACATACACACACATGCATACATACACACAGATACTTACACATATATACATACACACATACATGCATATACACATACAAACATACGTACACACACACACACACACACACAGTGATGTAAGGCTGAAGCCATGTGCTCTGCAGTAACATGCAGGCAGATGGCCTGAGTCAAGTCCTGGCTGCATGGTTTGCAGCCACGATTATTTGTTTTATCTATGCGGGGCTGAACTCAAGAGTAATCTAGGTCAATAACCAGAGGAGCATGCCTTGAATGGCCTTGAGGTTTCACAAAGCTACTGCCATTGCTTTTAGAATGTGCCGCTGGGGTTCTGAGTGTTGTCTGCAGACCACTCGCTCAGAGCACATCAGAGACCCCATTCTAAGCCATGCAGTTGGAGCCTCCAGCAGGGAGTCCAGGATGTGGACTTTGCTTATTCCTTTTCATTCTGTGCAGTCAGGCCTGAAAGGTCTTGTCCACAGACCTGCTCACCTGCTGGCAGTCCAGCCCACTCACCTCTCACACATGAACCTCTGCTTCTCAGGAAGTCTGACCTACATCATACAACTGCCTTATTTATGCCCTTCCACTCTGGGGTGGTCCTACCACAACAGGGCAGGCATCCTCAAAAGGAAAAGTTCCAGTTTTCAGTCTGCTAACAATCACAACACCAGCAAAGAAGTGGGGTGGCTCCCAGGTCCTTCCAACCATAGTTTGACAATGAGGAATGGCCTCCATTTTTGGGTAACTTGTCATAGGCCCCTAGTATTCAAGCCTGGGTTGCTCTAAATAATTCATAGCAGTTGGCTCTGGCTTTTCACTCTCTGCCAGTCACCTTAGTATCAACTGGGTTCCAGGCCTGACCCAGAGGTGAAGATTCATCAGGTCCAGCGGTGATAGTCTGGGAAGCCTGTGCTTTGACAGCTGTCCTGGTAACTCTGAGACTTATAACTCCAAGATGAAATTTTAAAGGAAAACACATGCACTTTAATGTCTGGGCACAACCTTAAGATGTCACCTGGCAAGGCTCCCTGCATGTTACAGTACCCCAGAGAAGGGTTTCACCTGGCCCTTGTTGATGAGTCTTTGGAGTGGTAGATACACTGCTGCCCTGATTTGACTCCCATCACACTTGGACAGCAGGGGCTACCTGACAAACTGAGTCATCACCCTTGACATTCAGGTTGCAGAACAAAGCCTCAGACGTCTAAAGGGCTCCAGATCAAAGCTTTGAGAATATAATCAGAGCTAGCCTCAGCTGCCAGGAATGGTAGCACACACCCGCAATCCGAGCACTCAGGAGGCAAAAGCAGGGTGATCAGGGGTTTAAGGTCGTCCTTGGCTACACAGCAAGTTCAAGGGTACCCTGAGATATGTTAGGATCATAAGACCACGTCTCCAAAAACTGAGTGAAAAAAAGACAGAGAGATCTGGAGAGAGTCGGCTGAGAAGGAAGGCAACCATCATGTGATTGCAGCCAACAAAGCTCCCAGAGGCAGAGAATTGCTAACTAGAAACAGTGAGCTGTTCACATTAGGATGAGACAGAGAAAGGTGGAATCACTGTGAAAACAGCATGTAGAGCTAAGCCCCAGTGTGTAAAGCCCAACTAACATAGCCACTGTTACTGCACAGCCAGCCTCCAGTATGGAGTCTTCCTGTGTTAGAGGGCTGGGCTGTGGTTGGCCTAGCCACTTTGGCTGCATTGAAAGCTGGAGTCACTGTAAAGGTAGGTGTGCTCTCACCACCCTGTGGCTGTGGCAGGCCTCCAGGCTGTCTCCCTACTTGCTGCTCACCCAAGGCCAGGCATATCAGCAATTTCTGCTCATCCTGACCCCTTGCCCATAGGTGATTTCACACTGGCCACATGACTAAACTGGGCTAGAGAGAGAACTGTGTTGTCAGTGTGGGAAGCTGTAAATGTGGTTCCTTTCAGGAGGTCACATGAGGCCACACATGCAGACAGGAGAGGGAGGAAGATGGGAAGTAGAAGCTAATGGTAGGCACACTTACACCCAGTAGCTTTCCCTGTGTGGAAACACCATGGGGTGGTTCTTGTCTCCGTTTGGCTTTCTGAAACGGATTTGTTACTTGCTAGCAAAGAAAAGGAACTCTGGGTAAAAGAACTAAAACCTCTTCACTAACTGGTCACTCGTCCTCTTCATCCTTAAAGACCCAGAATGACTCTTCCCCTTTGTCACTTCTACAAATGCACATATGCTTTGAATATAAACATGTGAGGTCTGCTATGGCAACGAGTTTCAAAAACAGAAGCAAGGCAGCCATCAGGATGTGACATCAGCACAGAGAAAGCTCCAGCCAAACAGCCCTCATGTGCCTGGGAAAAGGAGGCAGGCTGCACAGCACAGACTGGGTCAGCAGCTGCTCTGCTCTGCCAGACTGGGCCAGATGGGACTTTCTCAGCAGAACCCAAATCCCAATTCAAAATGGGCACATGTATCTGTGAGGCTTCAGCAGCTCACCCTCCCCACCCCTAGCCCCAGTGGGATTACATGATGGTACAGACCTCTGGCTGGATGGCTTTGAACACGGGGATGTCCATCAATGTGATCTGACTCTATAAGAGAATAGGGATACGGGGTTAGAGGCTTTTAAACTGAAACCTGATAAACAGAATCTTAAGTATTCATGGGGTACCATGTGATGGTTGAACAATCATGCATCACGGGTAACATTTAAACCAGTTTAGATATATCTGTCTTCTCGGATACATCATCATTTCTTCATGATAAAACATGTGAAATCCTCCAAGCTCTTCAGGACAGAGTTCACCCTCTGCACTAATACAGGCCGAGACTTCTTTCTCCCTGAATCAGTCCCTCCCTACTCCATCTCTCTTCCCAGACTCCTTCACTTCAGGAAGCCACATTTCCATATACGCAACATCCAAGAGAAACCATGTGGCACATGTCTTTCTAAGCCTGGCTTGCTTCACCTAACAGAATACTCTCTGGTTCCACCTGTGTTGTCTCACCTGACAAGATTTCCTTCTTTTTTGTGATTAAATAATAACCCACTGTGTGTGTGTCCCATTTGATCCATGCCTGGTTTACCCACTCCATTTGTTTCCAGGTCTCCATACTGCAGACAGGGCTTCAATAAGCAGAAGTCTAGACTGACTTTGCTGGCTTTGGACATGTAGCCAGTGCTGGCTGCTGCAACCTAGAGCAGCTCTTCAGTTTTCTAAGAAACACTGTCATTGTTTTCTGTAACAGCTACACTAATATGTACGCCCAGCCACAGCACACACAGGAATTCCTTCCTCTGCATCCTCATCAGTGGGTGCTGTTCTCGACCTTGTGGTAGCAGCCATTTTCCTTGAGTTAATGAGCTCTTGTGAATTTGAGTTGCCTTTTTCTGATGACTTCTGGGCATCCTTCCATGTTCTGTGGCCTCCTGCATGCCTTCTCTGCAAGCCCACCAGGTCCACTGATCAGTCACGAATGCTGTCATCTCTGTGGGTTTATTTTGGTTTCATTTGTGTTTTTTGCTAGTGAGCTTTCTGAAGCTCCTTATGTAGTCTGGATACTAACCTCTTGTAGAATGTATGGTTTGCAAGTGTTTTCTCTCATACTGGGGGCATTCCTTCAAACCCTGCTGACTGCTTCTTTTGCTGGGAGAGTCTCTGTGTCTGATAGAACCCTGTTAGTCTATTACTGCTTTCATGTCTTGCCCTCTTCATGCCCCTAGAGCAGTGGTTTTCAACCCTCTCAATGCTGTGACTCTTCAATACAGTTCTCATGCTGTATTAACTCAACCATAAAGTTATTTTCATTGCTACTTCATAACTCTAACTTTGCTACTGATATAAATTGTAATGTAAATATCTCCTATGCAGGATAACTGATATGCAACCCTATGTGGGTTACGACCCACAGGTTGAGAAGCATTGCCCTGAAACATAGCCTGTCATGCACACACCTGAGTGTATTCTTCTATTACTTCCCATTTCAGGTCATCTTAATATAGTCAGAGTTACTTTTATTGTTGATGAGAGATAGGATAGATTTCTGTGCTGCCCTCTCTACCACACCCCTCCTTAAATTTCTCTTCCCATGCCTTCCTTCTCTTTGAGTGTGTGATAAACTAACAGCCACAGAACTGATCACAGTCATTTGGAAGGTGAGGCAGGGAGTAAGATGAACATTTTAGTTTGGAAATATGATGCTTGGGTTTCTGCTTCAACTATGAATTATTTTTCTAATTTTAAAAACTTCTAGATACAATATTTTTAAATTTGCATGATAGAGATACTACTACTCAAATTTAAATAAAATTTGACTTCTCTTCTGAAGTCTCTACCTCCCCAAAAGTACATGGTAGAAAACTAACAGAGATGTGGCCACAGACCCATCTGAGACCCTGAACTGTTGATCATTCATTGGCCCTCATAAGCTCAGAGCAGAAGCTAAGGGGCAGCTCTGGGAACTTGCAGGCAGTGCAGCATGGCTGCCCCCATTCCTACTGCCCTCTGCACAAACAGAAAACAGAGCAGGGCCCTCCCACAGCAGCACACAGGCTCTGATGCCACTGATGGGACCAAAAGCAGATCCTCATTTGGGGACTAGGGCCAAGGTCACTTCGTGACTTACCCATCTTTGTGTGCCACATGGAGTCAGGTGTCAGTCATCACATGGCTCTGAGACAGGGAGGAGGACCACAGGCCTTTGTAACACTTGCTCTACTGAACCTACCCAGTGGGACACATTCAGACCTTGCAGACCACATGGTAGAATTCAAAATAAGAGATGCAGAATGTCTGATGTGACAATAACAAATTGTGTGTGCATGCATACAGGTGGGACAGTAATGACAAATGTAGCTAATGCAGCTATAGAGGCAGGCTCGTGTACTAGCACGTGCATGTACAGCCCAAACGCCTGGACATAAGGCCCACCATTTTGGCAGAACATTCACATGCCAAAGTTGCTCTAGAGAGAAGGAAACAGAGGCTGCTATACTGAGCCACCAAAAATCCTTATACCAAGTAAACACTGGAGAAAAATGGCAACACATGTTACCTGTCACCAGAGCCAGAGCATAGACATAGAACTATAGCCAGGTTCTGGCACAATTTAAAGGTGGTCTGAAGTTAGTGGGTTGCTGAAAAGCACAAAACAACTGACCACAGCATAGCATCCTCAGAATCGAATAGGAGGGAAATGAGCAGGACAGTAAGAGGCCTTTCCCTCCCAGGGCACAGAGGGAAATAATGTCACTAATGGTACCAAGAACAATGAGGCACCTGACGGAATCCCAGCTCCTGTGCTTACCCCATGGTGGCAAGGATTGTATGACATCTGTATACCTTGGGCCCAGTCCTCATGATGTGGAGAGTGGCTAGTGAGTGTTGTAGGCCCACAGAGCACAGAGCCCTATCCTAGGCAGAATTGTTAGCCATGTATTACCACATAGCGAGCAGAAAGACTCTTTGAAAACATGAGATTTGAAGCTGACATCTTAGGGAACCTTAAAAACCTCCCTGTACTTCTGTCCAGTGGGGACCAGCAGTGTGTGTGCAATGACACTTAGGAGAAGATCCAAGGCTGATGGGAAAATAAGATGCTCTCTCCTCTAGTCATTTACTTACAAGTTTAATGCAGAATTTCCAGCAATGATCCCAGCACTTGGGAGGCAGAGACAGGCAGATTTCTGAGTTTGAGGCCAGCCTGGTCTACAGAGTGAGTTCTAGGACAGCCAGGGCTATACAGAGAAACCCTGTCTCGAAAAAAGAAAACAAAACAAAAATTTCCAGCAATGACAACATACCAGCCATGTTTCTTTGAATGGTCTGTTCCACACCCTGATTCCAGCTCAGGCTGTCAGATTGAAACTGTACTCAGACGGTCTCCTCAGACACGTCAGCAGTGGATGTGGACACAGGTGATGGGTAAACACTTGCTGTTCAAGCACAGGGCCTGAATGTGGCTCCCCAGCATGCTCATCACATGCTGGACATGGCAGGAGGCATCTTTAACCTCAGGCAGGGACAAGGGGGTCCCTCGAGTTCCCCTGACAGCAGAGGAGCCTAGTGTGAGCCCCAGGCCAACGAAAGATCCTGTCTCAAAACTTAAAAGACAGAGAGCAATCGGGAGGGACACCCAGCATTGACCCCTGGCCCCCATGCCTACGCACACCAAGTGCACAAGTACACACAAAGAGGAGAACAAAACAACAACAAAAATACCAACAGTGCTGCTTCCAAGCTGGGGCCTGTATGTTCCCAACACAGAGAGCTTGTGTTTCAGACCTGGTCCATCACTGCGTCTCTGCTCTGACTAGAACGGATGCAATAGCCAGGACAAACCTCTAGCAAGACAAATACCCAAGGAAAACTCACCAAGTCACCAATGTCACAATACTTTATGACCATGCCAAACTTGTCCAAAGGCTGCTGCTAAGCAATCCTTTCCCAGCGGTCTGAGGGCTCCAGAGCTGCCGGGTATGCCCACAGAGCTAGAGGCCTGCAAGGTAAGGCCAGGCCATTCCCCACTTGTTTCCAGGCACCAGTTCACCCAGCAGAGGGCCTGAACAGGAAGCACTAGTCAGACCTCAGGACAACTGGCCAGATCTGCTATGCTTTTCCTCATCCCCAGGAGCCAGGGCCACTCAACACTGAGCCAGTCTCTGAAGAGAAGTACACAGTCATCTCACACAACATGACACACTGCATTGGGATGAATGTTACAACCTGGATGGGGCCTATCAGAGCACTGCACACCCCCCACACTCCCCCCAAGAAAAAGTGATATGACATGGGAAACTAGCTGGTTAGCCAAAAAGAAAAAAAAATTACGATGAATATACAGATTCCTAACAGTACCACACTAAATTCTTACATACGAGCCATAACCTTCAAGTAAAGCTTTCTCAAGACCATAATAAGCAAACAAAAGTTGTTGGCTAATATTGTACTATATAATAGAACATAACTGATAGTCTCCCATTAGATCCCTCTACCAATGGTTAGCCTCAACCACTCACAGAACACTGAGCAGTCAATTCCAACAGTACTTTTGAGCTAAGAGCTTACAAGAGCTAAGGGAAGCCATCGCCAGAGCAATGGTAGCCATGGCCAGTGCCACAGCCATGAGATCTATGATCAGAGATACAAAAACCATGACCAGAGCTACTGGAGCTACAACTCAAGCCATAGGAGTCACAGAAGGCCAGAACTACAGCCACGAAAACCCCAAATTACAGCCACTGAAGCCATAACCAGACCCATGGGAGCCATGACCACAGCCCAGGAATGACCAACACAGCCACCGGGAGGCCCTGACCATGGGAGTTACAAGCCATTTGTGAGTAAGTTTTGGACATTTACATATTCTTCTCTAAATGCTTAGCATGCGCTCCTAAGAGCAACACAGACCACACTCTTCCCTAACGTTAAATTCAGAGCAAAATGATTGTGTTCAGGAAACACAACATGATGCACAGAGCATGGAGCTACTAGCTATTCCCATACTGATCAATAGCAAGCTCCCCTTGGCCCTGAGTCATGCCCTAGATTACCTCCTAGAGAGGGAGTGATCACATCACTGACAGAACCCT